TGCAATGCCTCCCCTTGAGTGCAGGAAGGACTGGCGACGCACTTGTAAGCAACAGAACACTGTGGTGGTGACGTTATTGTGTTGTTTTATATCAGATTCTGTCTTAGCAGACTGCAGAGTGAGAGTCCCCTGCTGGCCCTGGAGAAGCAAGCAGGCATCCTGTGAACTGCCCACGGAGGGGGCCCCATGGCCGGGACTGCAGGCGGCTCTAGGAGCGGAGGGAGAACTTGGCCAATAGCCAGCAAGGAAACAGGCCCTCTGTCCCACAGGCACAAGGAAGGAGTGCTGCCCACTGTTACAAGCCACTGTGCCAATCCACGGCATTGAAGGTCTTCCTCTCTTTCCCTGACCTTCTACCAAGAATGAGGTCCTTCTCTAGGGACTGGCCCCTCCTGATGACATGTCCAAAATACAGGAAGCCAAAGGAGTTCTGCCAACAACGAGAATGACCCCGGAAGCAGCTTTTCCCCAAGATGAGCCTCCAGATGAGAACACAGCCCTGTCTACACCTTGAATAGCAGCCTTGCTAGACCCTGAAGGAGGGGATCCACCCACGCCGTACCCACCATTCTGACCCAGAGAAACTGTGAGATCATAACTGTGTGGTGTTGTAAGGCACTAAGTTTTGGGGTGATGTGTTACATAGCAATAAAGCAATAAAACCAGTTGGTGTTGAGTCAATTCCAATTCATGACCATCCCATGTGCTTCAGAGTAGAACTGTGCTCCTTAAGGTTTTCAATAGCTCATTTTTAATGCCAAATAGGCAAAGTTGAACCAAAATACTTAAAAAGCAAAGATATCGCTTGGAAGACTGAGGTGCACCTGACCTAAGCCATAGTATTTTCAATCACCTTATATGCATGCAAAAGCTGGCAATGAATAAGGAAGACTGCAGAAGATTTGATGCCTTTGAATTGTGGTGTTGGTGAAGAATACTGAATACACTGTGGACTGCCAGAAGAACAAGCCAATCTATTTTGGAAGAAGTACAGCTGAAATGCTTCTTAGAAATAAGACTGTTAAGATTTGGTCTCATGCACTTTGGCCATGTTATCAGGAGGGCCCGGTCCCTGGAGAAGGACGTCATGTTTGATAGAGCCCAGGGCCAGTGATAAAGAGGAGCACCCTCAACACGGAGGATTGGCACAGCGGCTGCAACGATGGGCTCAAACACAGCAACGATTGTGAGGATGGTGCAGGACCGGGCAGGGTTTTGTTCTGTTGTCCACGGGGTCGCTACGAGTTGGAGCTGACTCAACAGCACCTAACAACAACAACAGCAACAAAGCAGAGTTTTGACTGGGTCCCTGAAGAAGCCAAGACATTTGGAAAAACAGATGGATAATCTGTCAGCTCCCTTCAGGGAGGGCAGACACTGTGTCATGCCCAGCTTCTAAGAAAGGGCTGCTTACCAAATGGGCATTTGAGAGTTGCTCCTCCATTTAGTTGGTCACTAATTCACTGCCTCAGCTATGGGCGTCAGAGTCAGAATGACTGCATAGCCTTGAGCATCTGCCAGGAGTCCCCCGTACCACTTAGGCATTTGAATGTTCACAGTTACAGCATGTTTCCCCAGATGTCACTGATGGTGACCCCGGGCCAAAAGTGCTTCTAGCAACAGAGCATCATCGAGCAAAAGTGCAGGGAGCACAGATATTCCTGCTTGACATCGAATGCCGAGGGGCAACTTGCTGAGCAAAATAAAAGTTTCGGCAAGAAGTAACACACTGACCGCTTCACTTACTGAGAAACACTTTCACTTTTCGAAAATTGCATTGCACACTTTTCTAAACTAACACAGTAACATTATCATCATCAAAGAAAAAAAAAAAAAAAAAGCTGGTGGTTGAGTTGACACTAACTCAAAGCAACCCCAAAGCAACCCCATGTGTGTCAGAGAATTATGCTCTGTGGGTTTCCGTGGCCACTTTACTTTTTAATATTTATTTATTTATTTTGGTGAAAGTCTACAAGCCAAAGATGTATTATTTCAACAGTTTTCACATGTACAAGTCGTGACACTGATACATCTTGAAGCTGTGCTACAGTTCTCACTGTCCTTTCCACACTAACCCACCACAACTATCTTAAACTCACTACCTCCTGAGCCTCCCATGCAGCCTTCAATGGCTGACTTTTTCAGAAGCAGATCTCCAGGCCTTTTTCTGAGGCACCTCTGTGTGGACTCATACCAGCAACGTTCCAGTTAGTAGCCAGACTCTCAATTGTTAGCACCACAGACACTCCACATAACAGTATGACACCTTGCAGTTGCCCACGGGACACACAGCAGCATGGCACCTGGGGAGGTATGGGAAGAGGAAGCTCTGAGCTCAGCTCTCCAACCGGGGGGGACTGGCTGGGGTAAGCCATTTGAATTCTGGTGGCGTACTGCCTAAGGCACCTGACTGCTAATCAGAAGGTTGGCGGTTCAAACCCACCAGCCACTCCTCGGAAGGAAAGTTGGGCAACCTTCTTCCGTAGAGATACCATCTCGGAAACCCAAAGAGTGCTCGCTATCAGTCAGAGGTGACTCAATGGCACACAACAACAACAGCAACAACAACCTCAGCTCCACAGCTCTTCCTGATTCCCTACACAGCTTTTGTAGACCTAGGATGTGCCATGCTTATCTCCAAGGTTGTTGGGAAGGTCTATGGGATCCTGAAGGTGCACCAACAGAGTGAGGAAGCACCATTACTCCTCTCCACCGCTCATCTCCTTAGGATCAAGTCCATGTGCCTCCAAGCAGACAGCAGACAGACAGCAGGGTCACACTAGCACCAGCTGCAGAGGGGGAAGACTAACCACTCTGTCTGGATCACCTCGGAAGAGTCCCCTTCCAGCCCTGCATCAGTTCAGAGGAGCCCTATAACACAGCCCCATTTCACCCTGATGTTGTCCAGCTCCTCTCTGCCTCTCTCCCAAGACCAGCAACAGAGCTTCCTGGAGCCACGGTGGAGTCACAACAGCTACTCTCCACTGGCCTCGTGGACTTTCAGATTCTCCTTCTTTCTGGAGGCTACTGAGCCTGGGGGACAGGGTTGCTGCAGTGGTAGAATTCTCGCCTTCCAAGCAGGAGACCTGGGTTCGATTCCAGGCACTGCGCCTCACACACTGCCACCACTCATCTGTCGGTGGAGGCTCGTGTGTCACGGGAATGCTCAACAGGTTTCAGTGGAGCTTCCAAACTAAGGTGGGTGAGGAAGAAAGGCCTGGTGGTCTACTTCTGGGAACCAGCCAGTGAGAACCCTGTGGAGCACAGGACCCAACACACAACCCTTCAGGGGTGGCGCCGGACCAGGCAGTGTTTCACCCCATGGTCCATGGGTCACCATGAGTCAGGGACAACTCAACAACAGCTAACCACAACAAGGATGCCTGGAAGAGACCCCGTGGTAGTTAAGGTTGTGTGTCAACTTGGCTGGGCCTGGTTGGGTGGCTGGGCAGCTGGTGGTAGTTGTTCCCCATGATGAGACTGGCAATCACCTCCATGGTGGGATCTACCACAAGCAGCTGAGTAGCTGCTTTAGGGATGTGGTCTGCTTCCCGCATATAAGGAGCAGCTTTGGGAATGGTTTCTAGCCTATGGCACGCTTGAACCCCTGCATGTAGCCGAGTTGTTGTTCAGCAGCCTGCCATGTTCTGCCGATCTTGGGACTTTCAATAGACTTGAATCAATGGCCTGCCGTGTTGTTTGGTAACATCAGGACTGTGCCATTTTATTTGTTGACCTTGGGCTTGTCTGCCTCAGCAGCCAGCAGCTGCCTGAGTTAAGAGATGCCTCCAGCTTCAGTAGGCTGGGGGCAAGAGGCAGAGCTGAAGCCCAAGGTCAAGGGGCTTTCACCCAGCCCCTAGAGCCTGGCACTTGGAACTCGGACTTCTAGCTTCCAAAAACTGTGAGAGAATAAACTCCTGTTTGTTCAAGCCATCCCATTTGTGGTATATTCCTGTCAGAGCGGCACTAGGGAACCAGAACAGACCCTAAAGGACTTTCAGACTCTCCTTACTTCTGGAGGCCGCCATGCCCAGAACAGTCATCCGCCTGGTCTCCTTGTGTCCCTGGCTGCAGGTCCTACACTGGGACAGAGCCTGGACCTTGGTTGCCTCCAGGAGTCAGTCCAGAAAGGCAGCTCGTCGTGCCCTTGGCACTACTGGTGATTTGGGGCCAAGGCCTTCCAGGATGGCACCATCTGTGTGCAGCTCACTGACAGTACAGGTGACCGAAGACACCTCCCACACAGCTCCGAGAGGCCAGCACTCTGCCCAGGGCACGGGAGCCAAGGCTGAGCAAGGAGATGGAACGGCTGAGCAACTCTGCTGCCAGCAGCCGGAGCTGCTTCTACGAAATGGCACAGATGGTTGGCTCTCAGGCAGGGAACTACACCCAGAATAGCCATCATGGGTGGTGGGAGGAAGAAGCCCTGATGGTGCAACAGTTAAGCTGGGCTGCTAACTGAAAGGTAGGGGGGTTTGACCCCACCAGTCACTTTGCGGGAGAAAGTTATGACAGTCTGCTTCTGCAAAGATTCAGCCTTGGACACCCTAGGAGAGAGCGAGTTCTACTCCATCCTATAGACCTGCTCTGAGCCAGACTCCACTCAGCAGCCCCCAACAACAGCATCGCGGGAGAATGGCAAGAGTTTGCACTTCTAGAAAATGCCTAATCTTTCAATATGTAAGTAGTAACAGTCATTCCCTTTGGGTCTGATTAGTGGAAAATGGACGCAGTGAGTGGCTAGGTTTTTAAGAAAACTTGGATTTTTCTTTTCTTTTTCACATGGATTTAGTTCATTTTTCTCTCTCCTCCTCCTGTTCTTCTTCTCCTTCTTCACTGTCTTCTTCTCCTTCCCTCTCTTTTTTCCCTCTCCTTTCCTCTCTCCCCACTCCTCCCCTTCCTTCTGACTCTATTTCGCCTGACGTGAACTAAGATTCCCAGGATGGCACAACGAAATCCAGCGCTATGAGAACTGCGGATGCAACGCCTGGCTCTCTTACCTCACAGAAGCTTTGGCATTGATGCCTCCTCAGGTCCCAGGACTCTTTGCAGGGCTCCAGACACTGGGAGAGATTGAAAGTAAGAAAGTTAGCCATGGAGAAGACAAAGCCTGAAGACCAAATCTACCTGTGGGCACAGCTCTTCAATGCCCACGTTTCCTACTTTAGGAAACACAGTTTAGGAAACACAGTCTATACACAATTGAAAAAGAAAAGTTGCACAGTTTTGAGGGGGCTTAGAGGAAATGCAGTAACGTTATTGAGTCAGAATAATTTGTACAAAAAATAGTGTTATTCAACAAGAGATACTTTTCGAAAGATTTTCTTTCAGGGCAATTATTTTTCTCAAACTTAAAAAAAAAAAAAAAAACCTCACTACCATCGACTTGATTCTGACTCATAGAAACCCCTCCTTGTGTCTCTGAGGCAGTATTTCTATGGGAGTAGACTGCCCAGTCTTCCAAGGAGTGGCTGGTGGATTTGAACCGTGAGCCTTCTGGTTAGCAGTCAAATGCCTTTGACACTACACCACCAGAGTTCTTAAACTTTTAATAGTCATTATTAATTTCCTTTTTAAAATTGGCAACATAGTGTTCTTTCTCTGACATATTCTTCTAAAAGTGATTGTGTGCAATTGCACTGGGCTAAATACATGGATATGCAAATGTTGTGTATATACATATATGTATATATACATCTATATATATATAGATGCACACATACACAAACAGATATACACACGTGTGTACATATGTGTGTATGGAATTGCACTGTACTGAACATATGAATATGCAAATGTGTGTATACATATATGTATATATGTGTGTGTGTAAACATATATATATTTATTAACTTATGTATCTAGTTCAGTTAATCCAACACACATTATGATTTATCCACTTTAATTATTATTGATCATGTAACTAAAACTTTACTAAAATATAGTGAATAAATCTGAAAGTCAGCTTCTGCCACACCCGTTTCAAAGCCCAGTGTGTGTACTTAGACATCTTAAGAAGTCTCTGGGTGGCACAGTCAGCTAAGTGTGTTACTACCAGCGGAAAGCTGACTGTTCAAACCCCCCAAGGTGCCTCAGAAGACAGGCCTGGTGATCTACTTTCAAAAAGCCACAGCTTCGAAAACCCTATCGAGCAGTTTTATTCTGCACATTTGGGGCTGCTATCAGTAGAACTGACCCACAGCAACTAACAACAACAAGAAGGCCACGTTATGCATGTATTATATAGATACCACATACATTAAAATTCCAAATCAGTTGCCATCAAGTATTTTCCAAGTCACATATGTATCTATAAATCAAAGAAAACGGCCTGGCTTCATTGTTGAACAGGATCATAGTAACGACTGTAATAATGAAAACAACAGTGTTGAATAAACAAATTATATACATCTCCATATTAACAAAAGCCAAAACCAAACTCACTGCCATCAAGTCGATTTGACTTGGGTTTCCAAGGCAGTATCACTATAGAAGTGGATTGCCCAACCTTCCTTCCAAGGAATGGTTGGTGGGTTTGAACCGCCAGCCTTCTGGTTAGCAGTCAAATGCCTTAGGCACTATGCCACCAGAGCTGTTTATGATATGTTAAAATAAACTTTGATATATGTATAGATAGATAAATGCATAGATGATGAAGCTGTATCAAAGATAACAGGCAGGACTCCTTGTTGAAACTAACATGTTACATTCGTATCTATGGAGAACTTACCATTCTAATTATATTTTTAATACAAATATGAAAATTACATGGCATACAGATGCATGGCAGTCATCTGTTGCCAAACCAGTGCCTCTCATAAGCCCATGATGATTTCCTCTATAGGAGTTTCATTCCTTTGATGGTAAATAAATCTCAAATGATGAGGATCAAATTTACTTGAATTTTCTAATATTTATAAGGTAAAATTCAGGACGGATCATCTACCTATGCTCTCGTCACACTCTTGTCTAGTGATCCCCCACCATCGTCACAGTATAATAGCATGCAAAGATGCCCTGGGACAGTGTATGGGGAAACCTGATTTTCAAATAACCACTGCCAGTGTTCGATCAGAAATAGATGTGAAAGCCAATGGCTGCTCCGGCACCCACTGCCAGTGGTGTCTGCATGTGCTACTTGGGATATGGGCTCGGACCTTGGACATGGTGTGGCCGGGAGTTGAGACCCGCACACACGTCCACACCGACAGAGGCAGGGCCCTGGGATCACTCTGAATGAGTGCATACTGCTGGACCTTTTGGTTGCTCACTAAGCTTGCAGAACTGCGAGGGCATCTGATAAAAACCAAGGGTCCATGGAGTCTGACGCAGTCACTCGTGTTACATATGAACAATTGCTTTTTAATTAAAAGGATCTTGAGTTCTTCCATGACAATCCCCAAGACTTCTGTAAGCTTGGTCCACATTTTTCTCTCTCTCAAACACAACTCCAAACAAAGTCATGATTTCTCACCAATATAACACTTTTTGAAGAATACCATTCTTTTCTGACAGCAGCAAAGTGTTCAAAAACTTACTTACTTTACATATTTCACTAATCCTTAAAGAGTTATTAGGTTTGTTTCCTAAAGGGAGGTCAATTCTTATCCTTATTTTTAATGTTTTTTTTAAGACATCGGTTCTTAGCTTCAAGACTCCTTGTTTTTTGTTTTGTTAAGACATTGGTTCTCAGCCAAAAACTGGAGTAGTCATTTAATAGGAACGCTTGAACGAATTTCTGCTCAAGGTGCAATAGATCAATAGCACTCTCCAAGATACCTTGACACTTTATTTCGTTTGCAATTAAACCATGTTTTATTAAAGCAGGACCAATCCACAAGATCAGGTACTGCCCAGTCAAGTCTGTCATTTCACTCAGGAAATATCCAGCAAGCATTTACTCCATCTAAGACACAGCTAAGTGCTTTGTGGCTAACACTGCCTCAACATAATTATGCAATTCTTGTTTTCTGCTGTTGGTAAACTATGAAAACATGATATAGAGTTGAATTTTCCTAACTATCAACAAATAAGTACATAAAAAGTCTTAATCCTTTGAAATCTCCCTCCACAATTACGCATAACCTATTTCTTGAAAGTCATAGAACAGTACAATACTTATAAAACAAATACCATTTATAAAAATGTAGGCATGTTTCGGACACTCTAGTGGAAGAAAAACACACTACAATTGTCTTCTTGTTACTCCAGAACCATTTCCATGGGGAGGGGCAATTCACTTAAACCTCTGTTGTAACTGCACACTTGCCTCATTTCCAATAACTGTTCATCAGCAATGTCTAAGCACACCTCAGAATGTGATTAGTGACAGCAAGGTTTGCTTTGAATACTCCTCTATGAAAACCACTTCACTTTATTGCACTTCACAGAGACTGCATTTTTTACAAATGGAAGGTGTGTGGCAAACCTGTTTTGAGCAAGTCCATGGGAGCCATTTTCCCAACAGCATGTGCTCACTGTGGACTCTGTTACATTTTGGTGGGAATTCTCACCATATTGCAAACTTTCCCATAGTGATATTGCACACTTAATAGACTCATAATAGTGTCACATAACTTATATATACACTTAAAAGAAAAAAAGAAAAGAAAACTCACTGCCATCAATTTGATTCTGACTCAGAGAGGCGTCCATTGGGTTTCTGAGGCTGTGAATCTTTACGGAAGTAGATTTGCCCCATCTTCCTTTCATGGAGCCTCTGATGGGTTTGAACCACAGACCTTCTGGTTAGCCACCAAATGCCGTATCCACTATGCCACCAGAGCTCCTATTATATACACTAGGAACCCAAAACATCCATGTGACACACTTGACTGTGCTACTCGCCGCGTGGCAGTGGTCTGGAAGCAAACCTGCTCTGTCTCCGAGGTCTGCTGGCCAGTTTTCCCCTGAGGACTCTCACATGTTATTTTTGGCTGATACGCAGAGACCATGAGTTGTATTCAAGTCACTGTATCTCAAAGAGACTACACACTGCCCTCCTTAGTAGGGAATACAAGGCATGTGGGACTGAGGACACAGGAGGCAACAGGCTCCAAAGAACAAACTCTGTGCCCTGTGGAACAGAGACTAGAAAGCTTGGTTTGAGGCTGGACTCTGCCATGTGTCTCCTCTCAACCGTGACCAAGTCGAATCGATTACTTAGCCTCGGTTCATTAATACAAATACAAGAAAGTAATCTTCCATATTAACTTGTTAAAATACTACCAACCATGTAAAGAGTGCCGGGATCTTTACAGAGGACAGAGAGCTTTGAAGTTTGTTAAGTGGAGCCTCGTTACAACAAACCAGCGGAGGAGTGTGAAACTGTGGACAGTAATTCCAGATTATGAATGTTATGGACTGCTAGTTTAAGGAAGAGAAAACTGTGGGTAGAGAGGCTGAGGAAACAAAGCTAGTGAGAATTTGACCTCATGGTTTAGCACTGGACTGTGAGCTCCATTATGAAGCCTGACCGCACGGGGTGGTTGACATAATATATAGAAAAGGATGTGTAACTGAAAAGCACTTGGCAAACAATGGCATCACTCAATTCCTAGGCTCCCAGAGGAAACACTGGCCCAGAATGCCCTCGGAGCTCCAGATTCCAAGGTATTTATGGAATCACAACCAACAAGTCGACTTCACGGCCCAGCAAGCGGAACCCACCTTTATGAGCTAATGTACTGGTAGGAAAGAGGTCACGAGTCTGCTTTGGTGAGCCACCCCCTGGCCAGTTTAGCACAAAATTCCATAACTTATATTTAACCAAACACTTCCATCAAAGGAAATCCTATGACCTAAGGTAGCAAGCTCGGTGAACTCTGAAGCAAACAAGGGTTCCCACCAAATTGCAGTTTTCAGCCAAGAGCACCCAGCAAGGAAGCACAACGTGTAACTGTCACATGCCATTGGGGCAATTCCGACTCACAGCGACTCTATAGGACTGAGTGGAACAGCCCCATAGGGTTTCCCAGGCTGTTTTTTTTTTTTTTTTTATTTTTTTTTTGTGTTTTGGATGAAAGTTTACAGAGCAAATTCATTTTCCACACAGACATTCATA